TTGAATGCACCTGCAGCCAGACAGTGTGCAACTGCCCTGTGAGCTTCTCACGCAAGGACGGCGACGGGTGCTGAGAGCCGTGCGGAGGAGCCGCGGCGGCGGGCGGTGCTGGGGGAGCCAGGCCCTGGCCAGGAAGTCCATGTACATGGCCGGCCGATCGGTCGGTCGGTCTCCCGTTGAAAGGGCTCCGAATGCCAGAGAGCTGGCTGTGTGCTGCGCGCCGTGGGACCGCGGCGTTCTCTCTGACTCTGGTCCCTGGCCTCAGGCACCTGTGAATTCCCCACCTCCACAGCTCTTGCCAGATCACCTGGACTGACTTAACGCTTCCCTTAAACACACCTTCAATCAATGCACCGTTTACTTGGACATTCCCGAGGCAGTCTCCATGACACAGCCAGCTTTATGTGTCGTGTTTTTCTTTTCTTTTTTTTTCATGGAGAAATGAGACTTTTAATGGCACCCTCGAGAGCGGGCGCCCAGTGAACAGGGTCACCCGTGGGGCAGGGGACACAGCCTGTTTATCTAGTCCCTCCCCCGGCTCCTCATTGGCTGAGGACTATTTGGTCACCTGTTTTTTTAAATTTCTTTTTCTTTGTTAAGATATTACGGGTGTGTCCTTACTGCCTCACTGCCCCCCACCCCCCACGCATGCCCTCCCCCCCTGGTGTCTGTGTCCATTGCTTATGCTCATCTGCACGCACACAAGTCCTTTGGTTGATCTCTCCCCCGTACCCCCACCCTCCCCTGCCTTCCCTCTGAGGTTTGACGGTCTGATCGATGCTTCTCTGTCTCTGGATCTGTTTTTGTTCATCAGTTTATGTTGTTCCCTATAGTCCACATATGAGTGAGATCATGTGATATTTATCTTTCTCCGACTGGCTTATTCACTTAGCATAATGCTCTCCAGGTCCATCCATGCTGTTGCAAATGGTAAAAGTTCCTTCCTTTTTACAGCAGCATAGTATTCCATTGTGTAGATGTACCACAGTTTTCTAACCCACTCATCTGCTGAGGGCACTTAGGCCGTTTCCAGATCTTAGCTACAGTGAATCGTGCTGCGATGAACATAGGGGGCGTATGTCCTAGGATATGTGTGGTGCTTTTCTAACACACTTTAAAATAAATAACTATTAACATTGATGACTATAAGGCCGCCCCCTAAAGTGTAGAGGAATGTGCCATGGAAATCACGGACTGTCTCCCCTTTCCATGTCTCACATATCAACACTGTCTAGTGACTGGGGCCTCCCGGCGACACACAGAACCACTGCTTCCCGCGGCGGCTCCGTCAGAGCCATGTCCCAGAGCAGAAGGACCAACTGGTCACACCGCACGGACCGAGGAACTCAGAGCGCCAGGGCTCAAAGCCGCTCCCTGGAGCCCCTCATTCAACCACTTCTCTTGGCAAACAGAAGCGGAGGCCGAGACTTCCCGGAGCGGCAGGGGCTCCCAGCTCCCGGGCAGCTGCACTGGCAGCGCTGGGACTGGATGCCAGGCCTCCCAGGTGGGACCTCCCGCAGCCTGGCTCTGAGGGAGTGTTTCCCGCAGGCATGCGGGGCCCTGGGGGACAGGGCTGGGGGAGCGGCTGACGCTGGGCTGTGGAGTGAACTGTGGGAGGAGGCTGTGACTAGCAGCCTGCACGGTCGGACCAGCCTGCGTCCGCGTCACCTTGGCCCTCGCAGCCGAGTACTTTTCGTCTTTGGACATGTTGGGCAGCCTTGCTGCCTGCTGCCTACGGGGCCTCCCTGCAGGCCGAGGGTCACCCCTTCACTGCAGGATGGCTGCGAGGACCAGGTGACCCCAGACGCTCACACCTGGCTGTAGCGGGTGCTGACCCTTCTTGGCCCAGGGACACCACTCACATGGGACAGTCCCCGGGGCCGCAGGGGCAGAGCTACAGGACACTCGTCCCAGGTCGGGAAGGAGTGAGCTCAGACACAGACTTCCTGGGGAGGCGTGGGAGGCGTGAGCAGCTGGCGGTCAGGGCCCACACCTGTCCCTTGCAGGTTACAGCTTTCTCCTACCCGAAGGAGCGGGGCGGGGAGAACAGGGTGGGCGACAGCAGTGAGGGAGGCCGGTTAGGGACCATGGCAGCCAGCAGGAGGGCCTAAGGTTACCTGGAACAAGCTTGAGGGGTTTAAAAGGCAGAAGGCAGCGTTCAGAGGAGGGAAGTGTCGGCAGGAGCTGGGACGCGGGGGCTGGCCGCCCTGTCGGTCACGCTGCTGTCTTAGGGTGTCCTCCCCCCATGGGACCGGGGCGTTCTCCCTTCAGAGAGGTCCCTTGGGTTTTCACTTGGGACTCCGTGTCAGGTCAGGGGTTGCTCCGGACGGTGCCACCTGTCCTCCCAGGAGCCCGTCCCGACCCCTCCCCACTCAGGCAGCATCCCCTGGGCAGGCGGTGCCAGGCGGGGCCCGCAGTGGCGGAAGCCCAGTGGCCACGGGTACCTCCGAGCTGCTCGGCTGTAGGCCGTTGCCTTGCTAAAGTTAGCTCCTGGAACACAGCAAACCCCCAACATTGAAAACCTTGTTCACCTAAACCACAGGAGCAGAATCAATATGGCCTTTTCCTCTCTCGGGTAAGGGAACCCAGGCTCTGAGAATTCTAAGTTCATAGCAAGTCAGAGACAGGAACAGTGATGCCCCGTTTGATAAATGATTAGTCTCTTACGTCATTCAACATTCACAGACACGCGGCAGTGGGACAGGAGTGTGCACATCCCGCCTCCACAACAGCCCGTCGATCACTGAGGTCCTTGGGAGAGAAAGGCCCGATCGCCCGCAGACCAGCGGCTGAGTCCCGCTGTGGATGGAGGCCCCGACGAAGCTAGAATAGAATCCTCTCCTGTTCCCAGTGCCCTCACCTTGCGTGCATGTCTCGATGCTCAGTCCAATGGCCCTTTATGAAGCCTCCTGTGATCTTTCCATGCTCACAATCTGTAGCCTCGGGATTGGGGGCCGGGTCATGCCGGCGAGGGTAAGGAGAGGACACGTGGTCACACACAGCACCAGGGATATTTGTGTGGTCCCCAAGTTGGAACAAAGAGACCGAGATTCCCAGAAGTTGAGTGACTCACCCAAGTTCCACAGTAAGTATGGTAAAGCCAGATCCCATAACCAAGCGGTCTGATCCCAAAGCCACGGCTCCACCGTGGCTCCAGGCTGCCTGACGAGGCTAAATTTAATTGACATTGTCAACTCATGGTGCTTGGCGCTGATTCAATGCCAACAGGAACCCCCAGTTTGGAGAGCTGCAGAGAAGGAAATTTTGTTCAGTGCAAACAGCTCAGTTGTGACAGAGCACAATTATGAGAACAGCATGGCTGTGCAGCAGCTCAATAGTGCTCCAGCTCAGTGACGAAGCAGCAGGGCTGTGAGGCAGCCTGGGCCAGGCGGCCCTCTGGCTAGACAGCTCTGCTCTGCAGTCCAATCTCTCCACTCTGCCCTGCCCTGGGCTGCTCTGCCCTGGGCTGCTCTGCCCTGGGCTGTCTGCTCCATTCTGCTCTGCCCTGGGCTGCTCTGCTCTGGTGAGAATCATCAATGTTTCAGCTCCAGCCGAGGGCAAGCAGTCCTCAGGAAAGGGAGAGCACTGAGGGAGCCAGAGGAGAGCTGGCTTATGTAGAGAGAAATCTCCGCCCCTGGTCCCTGATTGGTTTGCCCTCATGCAAATGAGGACTCTAAATATTCACAGTTTGATTGGTCCAAAGGGGCCATCCTAATTGGTCCAAATGGAGCCACTCTGATTGGCTGGTGAAGATGCTGATGGCGATATAGCTGTGCAACTCCAATTAGATGGGGAAAGTCTCCATCCTATTGGTTAAAGTCCAATTCCAGGAGCTCCTTTGTAAGAGCTTGCTCAGATGGCAACTAGCATGCGACTTGTACTCAGCCCGCATTCGCCACTTAATTGAATTGAAAACTGTATTTTGCAGATGTTTACCCCCATCCAGTTTCAGAAAAGATTTGATAGCTTACATGGGGGAGGGAACGTGGCGGGGAAGGACATTTCCATAAGCCGGACAGCCAGGTCTTGGGTTATTAATTCTGTGAACTGTGATCACCTATTTGAAATGAAGTCTCCTTTGAGTAGGTCAGTGGTTCTCAACCTTCCTAATGCCGCGACCCTTTAATACAGTTCCTCATGTTGTGGTGTCCCCCAATTTCATTGTTACAAATTGAACATAATTAAGCATAGTGATTAATCACAAAAATATGTAATTATATATGTGTTTTCCAATGGTCTTAGGCAACCCCTGTGAAAGGGTCGTTCGACGCCCAAAGGGGTCGCGACCCACAGGTTGAGAACCGCTGGAGCAGGTTCTCACAACCCTATTCTTGAGCAGAGGAGGCAGGTGTTACACTCGCTCAAGGATCCGCAGTGACACCTTTCACATCTTTGAAAGTGTCTGTTCAGTGCCCCCGGGTGGCGGCTGTCCCCGAAGGGTGCTGGCCATCTCGCAGTGTTGACAGTGGGCGCCTTGAAGATCGCCTGGTGGCAGAGACCCTGAGGCTTGTCAGGACCAGGCTGTTCCCTTTCGACCACCCTCTGACGGGCGCAGTGTCAGGTTTCCCTTGAAGCCGCCTGTTTAATCCTCACCCGCCACCAGCGGGAGCTCAGCAGCTGTCCTCTGGGCGGCAGTGCCACCAGGCCCGGAGCTGCACCGGACAGACTGCGGCAGCGCCAAGTTTAAAGCTGCGAGTCCGGTGGGAGCAGAAGCCCCTCCTTCCCCGGCTGCGCCAGCAGGGCTGCCGGCCTTCGGACCGGTCTCTCCACCTAGAGAGCCGGCTCACGGTCATTTCTCTCCCTTCTTCATTTGCAGTCAGATGAAGGAAAGGGCCCCCTTCCGACGCCACCCCACCCCCGGGGCGAAGGCCGGAGCCCCAGGGCGAGTCAGGGCACCCGGGCTTCTGGGTCCTCCTCCCTCCTTCCCTCCCTCCCTTTCCTCCTCCCCCTCCGCTGTCACTGGCTGCACCTCCGAGGCCTGCACAATAGAGGCTCCGCCCTCCCTCTGCGAGCTCTTCGCCCGGTCCGCTCCCAGCAGTCGGCCCGTCCTTGCTCCCCAGGTTCCCGGCAGCCCGCGCTGGGCGACCTCGGGCTGCCCGCTGCTGCCCGGTGCACCGCCGTTGCTGTCGGACCCCATCCTCCCGCCTGAGGACGCCGGGTCCCCTCCCCCTTCCCTGCGCCCAGGGCTGCTCGCGCCCATCCGGACGGAGATGACCAGGGTCTCAGGGGCGCCTGGGCCACGCGCGCTTGGCTGCACCCGGTGGGGGAAGGCCCTCTGAGCTCCGCCCTCGGACTCCAGCCAGGAGACTCTCTGGCCCAGTCACCGCTGGACCGTCCCCAGACAGACCGCGGGCTGAGCCCCTTCTGTCTCGCCCTCATGGCCCAGCCTCTGCTGCTGGTTCTCTGGCTGGCTCTGGGTGTGGCCCCTGCCGGAACCAGCGAGCCCCCTACCGCGCAGACAGTGGCACCCACGGAGGCCGAGACCCTGCAGAACGAGGCAGACAACCAGGAGAACGTCTTGTCTCAGGTAAGCGCCGTCTGGCCACCTGCCTGCCGCACCAGGTGGGCCAAGGCCAGGAGGGCACTTACCTCTCATCCATCAAATGATTCCTTAGGGGCGTGGGTCCTCCTCTCGAAGTCGGGGTCTTTCAGGCGATGGGACCAAGAGAAGAGGAGGGAGGGGAAGAATGGAGACCCTGGCTCAGGGCTGGGAGGAGACCCCTCTGGTCTGTGCGGCTGTTTGTGGGAGCCGGAATGTGACCTGGCGCGTGCTGGGCAGAGGCGGGTGGCGGGACCCCTGGCAGATGTTCCGCCACAGGAGTGAGAGGCCGGAGAAGATGGGGTGAATGTGGGCAGTAAAGGACTGTCCTTGTTTCAGGGCTCAGCCCTCACGCCCTAGTCCCAGTTTTCAGCGGAGGACCATCAGGCGAGGGTTAGAGCGGGGTGCGGGGGGGGGGGGGGAGGGGGACAGACCCCTTTCCTCTCGGGGATCTCGGGGCTGTTTATTCCATGACCCGTGGCGGACGGACCCCGAGCCGCTAGCTGCCCGCACTCCACAAGCCTGCACTGGGCTCGCAGCGAACACGGGTCTCCTGGCCTTCCCTTCATAGCTATGCTAACATAGGCCTCGTACCCACCCTCAGCCTCACTCGGACCCCGACATTAAAAAGACAGAAGCGCCTGACACCAGGATCCTGCGGGGCCACGGGCAAAGCTTCCTGAGAGCCGAACCTCGGGAGGGAGGGCTGCAGGGGTCTCCGTGCGGTCAGGGCGGGAGCGGAGGGCAGGCGGTGATTGCGGTCAGCCCAGCCGCTCCATCACCTTGAACTATGACGCCTTCGTCCACTGGGTTTGATCACAGCCCTGAAAAAATTAGTGTTAGAAGAAACCCACCCTTTGCAGGAAAAACATGACAGCCTGTTCCCCACCAGCACCCAGGAAGGCTCCCCCACAAGCTCATGGCCTGCCAGCGGGTCACGAACTGGACGAAAGGAGCCCCTCTCGGTGCCCAGAAGGGAGCCTGGTGCTGGGGGTGCAGGGCCTGCTGGAGAGCAGCTGGGAGAAGCCTGTTCCCCCAGCAGGGGGGCTCCAGAGGCTGCCCTGTGAGCTGGCAGACTGAGGAGGAGCAGAGAGGCTGCCAGTGCGCGCTGAGCTTTGCCTGGACTCTGGGCCCAGAAGCTGCTCTAGGAGCCAACTCAATCCTTAAACAGAGGAATCCTTACCAGTTTCTCCCGCAGTTCCCTTTCTCCAAATCTAACCCATGCTTCGAAGACCAGCGCAAACACCCCCTCCTCGAAGTCTTCCTGGTGCACTGTGGGCTGTGGCCCTGGGCAAGCCACCCCCCCCCTCGCTGGGCGCTGGGTGCGGGGCGCGGGGCGCAGGGTGCGGGGCGCGGGGCGCAGGGCGTGGGGCGCGGGGCGCGCCCTCTCCCTCTGCACTCTGCCTGGCGCATGGGCCCCCAGCGCGGTCCCGGGAGGCGCTCAGGAGTGGAGGGTGGTAAGTGGCGATGGGAAGGAGCATCTTCAGGTCCGAGTGTGGGCAGCGGCCCCAGCAGGCTGGTCTCCTTTCCTTCTTTACTCTAAACCTGGGCTCCCGCTGGGGCAAGGCCTGCTGGGAGGATGCTGGGGCTCACTGGTTTTCCCTTAAAATGAGGAAAGGCTGAGGCCCCCAAGAAACACACAGCTTCCTCGGACAAGAGGCGGCGGCACGCGGTGCCTGCAAGGAAAGGTCGCGGCCAGCAGGCGGTCTTGCGGTGACCATGAGGGCGGTCAGGCGTCTGAGGTCTCCGGCCGAGCGGTCCTCAGGGGCCTGTGTCCACGCGCTCTGTCTGTCTGTGCAGTTGCTGGGAGACTATGACAAGGTCAAAGCTGTGTCCGAGGGCTCCGACTGCCAGTGCAAATGTGTGGTGAGGCCCCTGGGCCAGGACGCCTGCAGGAGGGTCAACGCCGGAGCCTCCCGGAAGGAGGACTTCTACACCGTGGAGACCATCACCTCCGGCTCATCCTGCAAGTGCGCCTGCGTCGCTCCGCCCTCCGCCCTCAACCCCTGCGAGGGGGACTTCAGGCTCCAGAAGCTGCGGGAGGCCGACAGCCGCGACTTGAAGGTGGGGCCTGGTGGGGCGATGCCATGGGTGAGGGGGTGCCTGGGGATCGCAGGCCTTTGAGTGAGGGACCTGCTTTAGCCTTTACGCAGTTGGTCACTTTCAGCCCCGACATCCAAGGGGCTGGTGAGAGCCAAGTCTGCCCATCTTGCCAAGGGAACCAGGGAGGCCGGGCTGGGGCAGCTGCCAGGCCCAGCAGCTAAACGTGGCCCGCAGGCCCACCGGGGCGGCTCGTCTGGCTCCGGCCGCCGGGCGGTGGGAGGAGCTGGGTCTGGGAGTCAGACGACGGTTCCGGTCATCGCTCGGCACCACTTGCATCATTGACTGCGGTGACTCCCTTGTCTGGCCGAGTCCCCTGAACGCACAGTGGGAACGTCTTCCCGGTGGATCGGCCCGAGCGCTGGTGACGGCCGGCCGTTGAGAGTGTGGGCACCGCCCGGACGCGTGCTGCGCAGTGACTGCCCTACCGTGCCGCTGGCGGTCGTCGGCACCATCGGCAGAGGGGCCTTTAACAGGCAGCGAGTGACCCCGCTCAGCCCGCCCCTCGGAGCCGTAGTTCTGCCCTGAAGCTCGTTTCTGGACGAAGGCACCTCCCGGCTGTCGGATGGGGCGCTGGGGCCCCTGGGACGGGCAGAAAACTTCCTACCAGGAAGCGAAACGTCATCACAGCACAGAGAACCGACGCCTCCGCGGCCCGGCCCTGGGGTCGCTGCCGGCGCCGGTGGGAGGACGGAGACCCCGTACACAGGTTCTGTCTGACTCAAGGCTGGAGCTGGCGGGGCAGAGGTGCAGACCGGCGTCCAGCAGGCTGTGCTGGGGGCCTCAGCAGGAGGCTCCGGCGAAGCACCTGCCTTCTGCCCGCGCCTGCCCCCCAGCCCGGGATGTGCCAGGGCCGCGTCCTCCTTCCCCTGGAGGACCTAGGCTTCGGTGCCCCTGCCAGCTGCACCTCAGAGTGGGGTCCCAAGACACTTTCCCGCCAGGGCCGGTGCTCTCAGTGCGAGGAACACACGCTGCCTCCAGGGCTCTCCGAAGGCCGGGGGGCGCCCCAGGGCAGCGTGCCAGGGCCGCATGCACAGGTACTGAGGCTCCAGCCACCCCACTGGGTGTCCACAGACCCCGCCGGGCAGGTGCTGTGCTGACTGACAGGACTGACAGCCTAGGAGGAAAGACAGACGAGGGAGCTTCACCAGGGTCCCCGCAGGCGGGTACACTCACGCATTGCGTCTGCCTGCGTGGCTGCCAAGACAAGTGCCACCTCTGAGGCCACCTCTCAGTCCCTGGGGTTTCCCTGTGGGCTCGCCCTGGCCCGTTGGCCTAGCCCTAGACTAACCTGCCCTGTTCCGCAGCTCGCCACCATCATAGACATGCTGGAGGGCGCGTTCTACGGCCTGGACCTCCTGAAGCTGCATTCGGTCACCAGCAAGCTGGTGGGGCGCGTGGACAAACTGGAGGAGGTAAGGAGCGTGCTGGGTCTCCACGTCTTCACCTGACCAAGCCCAAAGTGTATCGAACTTCCCAGTGTTTTGACAGAAGACACATTGCTGGTGACCAAGGGGACCAGTGAAACGTAATATCGCCTTCTTTTCCGTACAGAAGAACCGTATGCCCCTGTGGCTATAGCGCAGAGGCCTGTGCTCCAGGGCACAAGGGTCCCAGGTCGCAGCCAGCACCTGGCCCGGGCTAGATGCTCATCCGCCATCTGCTTGGGGAGCAGCTGGCCTCGGCAGCTGGCGGCTCTGCCCAGGCCGGCTGCCATCTCTCAGCTGTGGTCAGAGGGACGGGGCCTCGTCCTGCCTGTGCTGACAGTCTGAACACCCGCTGCTCTGGGGGCTGGAGACAGCTGCCCGCCGGGGTGGCTGTCCCTGCCCACCTGGTCCTCGATGGGTCCTGGAGGGCTTGGAGTAGGGGGAGGGCAGGCTGAGCTACCAGCCCTCCCCCGGGGGCCAGGGGCCCCACGCTGGCTCACGTCACTCCCACAAGGAAGCCTGCGCCCTTCACCCAGGCCCTACCGGCTTCCGGAGCGGGGCCCACAGCCTCCTGCCTGCCTGGGGCTCCAGCTGCCAGGTAGCATGGCTCCTCCATGGCTCGGGTCCCCACCCTCTCCCTGCCCCCAGGGGCCCCTCCCTCCGCTTCGCCCACAGCTGCCAAGCTGCAGCCTCACCATTGTCCTGCCCAGGCCTGGGGAGAAGGCAGGTGTCATCACTCCTGCTTGTCCAGTGGGGCGCCAAGAGGCCGCCTCTGCCTGTGCCGGTGTCGCCCCTGGTCTCTAAAGAGCACCTTCCGCACACCCGCCTGTTCCTGCTCTACCCACTCACCTTCCCCAGGTCCCCACACTTTGGCTTAGACTCAGCCAGGCATGCACACACCTGTCCCGCCGCTGGGCGAGGTCAGACAGTCTCCACCAGCCTTGGACCCCAGGGCCACCACATCCAGTCCCCTTGCCCGGCAACCCTGCCTCATTCTCACGCTTCCTCCCTCCCGAGGGGCGTCCTGTGCACAGGCCCCCAGCACTTGGCACCTGTTCTGTGCATACCTTCCTGCCCCTGCTGGGCCTCACCCAAGGGCTCAGAACAGACTGCCCAGGCCTCCAGGCCCGTGGCCTATGCCAGCCTGTCGCTCTCCTCCTGGCCTCGCACACTGCTCTGCCCAGGGATCCTCAGCAGGGACCAGGGGGACGCTCGCCCCGCCAGATAGGCCCCCACAGCACCGCGTGGCCCGTGGCCCGTGACCCAGCCGCACACGCCGTACTCGTCACGGCCCCAGCTGTGCCGGGGAAGAGCCTGAGGAGAAGTCATGGGGCCTCCCTCTGCCAGGGGAGATCGAGAGTGTCTGTGGGGGCCATCCCCAGCCCCTGAGAAGTGCCCCACATAGGCCCTGGGTAGGAGAGGACTGAGCCAGGGAGGAGACCAGGGCGAGGCTGACTGGGGGCGGCTGATGGGTGATGCCACTGCAGCCTGGCATTTATTTAGGTGGTGGACAGGCTCTGCTATTCCCGTGAGGGGTGACCTCTGCCGCCCTCTGGGCTCTGGGGGCCGGGCTGCCTCCATCCTGCCCTGTGCAAACCCAGACGGGCCCTTCGCCGGCCCGAGGGGCACCGAGGACTACAGATCAGTGCGGGGGCCTCCAGGGGCCCAGCGACCCAAGATGGGGGCCCCGCCAGCACATGGCAACGCCGCCTCAGGCTGCCAGGAGCGTGAGCCTTGTGTGGGTAATGAGGCGACTGAGGCCACGCCACTGGGGTGCCCAGTGGAGCCCTGGGCCCTGTGGGCAGGAAAGGGACACACCTCGATGCCCCCAGGATGTGCACTGACGGTGGGAGGGTCAGCACCCGCATCGGCCACGTCATCTGACTCGCTGTTTTCCTGGGTGGACCCTGTGGCTCATCTGCTTCTTGCAAGCTTCCCCTCCCAGGGGGGACGTCACAGAGCGGGGCCTCCTTGGCCTGGCTGACCACTGGCCCCTCACAGAGTGCACTAGTGATGCAGCGTGTCACACCAGACCCGCGGCCACAGAGACGCTGGGCCGCTCTCCAGAGGTGCGCACCGAGGCACAGCCGTCGAATCCACCAGGACCTTTCTGTCCTTCCCGGCAGCTGGGCCTGCCCCACCGCCCGGCCCGGGCCCCCGCCCGGCTCAGGCCCCACCGCCCGGCTCAGGCTCCACCGCCCGGCCCAGGCCCCTGCCCGGCTCAGGCCCCACCGCCCGGCTCAGGCCCCTGCCCGGCCCAGGCCCCACCGCCCGGCTCAGGCCCCTGCCCGGCCCAGGCCCCACCGCCCGGCCCAGGCCCCTGCCCGGCTCAGGCCCCTGCCCGGCTCAGACAGCTGCAGTCCCTCCGCACGAAGAGCGCCTGGGCTTGCCGGGAGGCAGCTCGGATCACAGGCTCTCTAACCAGCTTCCTGGCGGTGGCACCTGCTGCTGGCCTCTGGACCGACTCAAGCAGCAAGGACACCCTCCCTGTCCCCGCCGCGTCCTCAGAGCTGTGCAAGAGCTGGCTGAGTTCTTAGGGAGCCAGGAGCCAGGAGGCCGGGGCCGGGCTCCACTCTGCCATTTGTTGTTGTGTCTTCACCTTTATGCTGAGAGTATTACAGATGTCCTCCTTTGCCCCTCGCCCGGTTCCCAACCTGCCCCAGCCTTCACCCCCACTGCCTGTGTCCATCGGTAAGATCTTTGCTTAATCTCTTCTCGCCCCTCCCCCTTCCCTCTGAGAATCGTCAGTCTGTTCCATGTTTCCATATCTCTGATTCTATTTTATTCACCAGTTTATTTTATTCGTTAGATTTCTTGCTCATTTATTTTGATTTTTAGATTCAATTGTTGATAAATATGTATTTACTGTCATTTTATTGTTCATATTTTTAATCTTCTTCTTAAAAAATACCCTTCACATTTCATGTAATCCTGGTTTGGTGGTGATGAACTCCTTTAGCTTTTCCTTGTCTGCGAAGCTCTTTATCTGACCCTCAATTCTGAATGATAGCTTTGCTGGATAAAGTAATCTTGGTTGTAGGTTCTTGGTATTCATCACTTTGAATATTTCTTGCCACTCCCTTCTGGCCTGCAAAGTTTCTGTTGAGAAATCAGCTGACAGTCGTATGGGTGCTCCCTTGTAGGTAACTGACTGTCTTTCTCTTGCCGCTTTTAAGATTCTCTCTTTGTCTTAAACCCTTGGCATTTTAATTATGATGTGTCTTGGTGTGGGCCTCTTTGGGTTCCTCTTGTGTGGGGTTCTCTGCGCTTCCTGGACTTGTATGTCTATTTCTTTCATCAGGTAGGGGAAGTTTTCTGTCATTATTTCTTCAAATAGGTTTTCAATATCTTGCTCTCTCTCTCTTCTCCTTCTGGCACCCCCATAATGGACATGTTGGTACTCTTGAAGTTGTCCCAGAAGCTCCTTACACTATCTTCATTTTTTTTTTCTTTTTTCTTTTTGCTCTTCTGATTGGGTGTTTTTTGCTTCCTCATATTCCACATCGTTGATAGGATTCTCAGAATCCTCTACTCTACTGTTGAATCCCTGAAAGTGATTCTTTATTTCAGTTAGTGTAGGCTTCATTTATGATTGGTCCTTTTTCATATCTTTGACTTTCTCACTAAGATCATTGAAAGTCTCATGAAGATCCATGAGTAACCTTATAATCATGGTTTTGAACTCTGTATCCAAAAGTTTGCTCTCTTCCATTTCTGTCGTTTTTGGCATGTTTTGTTGTCTCCCCATGTTGACACTTCCCTGTGTTTGCTTCCATGTAGTAGGTAGAGCTGCTATGTCTCCTGTGGCTGTGAAGTATGTGTCCTGTAGGGCCCAGTGGCTCAGCCTCCCCAGTCACCTGAGCTGGGAGCTCTAGGTGTGCCCCTGTGTGGGCTGTGTGCACTGCCTTGTAGTTGAGTCTTGATTGCTGTTGGCATCGCCAGGAGGAAGTGACCTCCAGGCCAATTGGCTGTAAGGATCAGCGGCGACTACAGTGGAAGAGCAGCTGTACAGGAGACACCCCTATGGAGCAGGACTTGCTTCAGTGGGGCTTTGGTGCTCACTGGGTCTGCCCCTTGAGTGGTCGCGTATAGACATGTAGAGTTGTAATTGGCTATGGTTGAAGCTGTTCACTGGGTGCACCGGCTCTGGGACCTCCAGGGAGGTAAAGTCAGCCACTGCCTGGGGCCACCCCGCAGGAACTACTTGTATTGGGCATGGAGGTGCCCAGGTGAAGCCCAGCTGTGGAGCAAGACAGGCTCCTACTACTGCAGGGTCTCGGGCCTCTTGCTGATAGGAATGGGGCACACTGACACCAGCTGCAGCTTGCTTAAGAGGTTTCAGCAAAGTCTGAAGCCTGAGTAAGGACAGGCCATTCATATGCAAAGGCCACTGCAAACAGGTTGGGCGGGCTGTAAATTGGAGGGGCCAGGGTCTCTGGGAATCACCAGGACGGAGCAAACAGATATTACCCCTGCCAGTCAGCCCTGCAACCAGAGAGGTCCCAGCACAGCAACAATGACCCCTGTGAGCACCTTCATCTGGGAGAAAGCTGCCCCAAGTTCCTACCCTGATGCCAGACAGTCCAGTTCCTCCCCGTACCTGTCTGGGCCCCCCAAAGCCACTGCCCTGCGCCGGAGCTCAGAGGAAGAGGGACCTTGTAAGTTCATGCGTGGGGCCCTTTAAGAGGAACACCTAGAACTCCAGCAGCCTCTGTGTCACTGAGCCCCAACCCCCTCTTTTACAGCCCAAAGTCATGGGGACTTCTCTTCCCAGCTCTGGGAGCCTGGGCTGGGGTCTGGTGGGGACTGGACCCCTTGCGCCTCACGGGCAGCCTCCGCAGAGACAATCTCCCTCCTGTTTAAAAAATGCCACCCGTGGGTGCTGGTCCAGCCAGTCTGTGCCTCCTCGGTCTCGGCGTGCTTGCTTTAATTCTCTAGTTGTAGGACTTCCATTCAGCCAGATTCCCGGCAGTTCTGGATGCTGGTTGTTCTGTATTTAGTTGTAATTTTGACGTGGTTGTGGGAGGCAGCGAGTGCAGGCGTTTTCCTACGCCACCTTCTCGGCTCTTCCTCTGCCACTTGTTTTAAAAGGTCCTCAGGCAAATCGCCTCCTTGCTCCGGGCCTCCATGTCCTCACCTTGCAATGAAAGGTTAGGCTTGAGCTGTGGGGTCCAGGCCAGCTCTAACCTTCTATGAAAACTCACAGCCACTCACATGGACTGGTTGACTCACCGTAACAGCCACAGGGAAACTGCCAGGACTCCCCCGTTCACATGTGGACGCTGGTCTGGCAACAGCCGTGGGCCAGGAATCCACTCTCCTAATGGGGGCACGTGGCCGCCCCCACCCTGTCAGGCGTGACCCACCCAGAGAGATGGCTCGCTCTGGGCCTGAAACAAGACCTCTTTCCCACGGGCTCTTGTCCGCACAGTGAGTTCCGTGCAGTCAGAGAGGCTGCGTGGCCTGTGCCCGGGGGACCCTGAGCCCTCCCACGGCCACACGTGGCCGGATCGGCCGGAGCCCACACCAGGTGTCTGTGTCGCGCCCCCCCCCCCGCCACCCCCCCCTCCCCCGGGCTCTCCTGACTTCCCTCTAGGACACAGCCTCACCGCAGGCTGCCTCGTCTGTGTGTCAAAGAAAGACAGGAAGCAAATCCGGCTCCACCTCACCTGCTGGCTGCCCCTGCACACGGCCTGGCCCTAGGCCAGCGATGGCGAACCTGTGACACGCATGTCAGAGGTGACAGGCGAACTCATTTTTTTGGTTGATTTTTCTTTGTTAAATGGCATTTAAATATATAAAATAAATATCAAAAATATAAGTCTTTGTTTTACTATGGTTGCAAATATCAAAAAATGTCTATATGTGACACGGCACCAGAGTTAAGTTAGGGTTTTTCCAAATGCTGCCACACCGCGCTCAGAAGGCTCGCCATCCCTGCCCTAAGAGGACAGAGTGTGGGCAGTTCAGAGGCTCGTGGGAACCTTAGAAGCGGCCAGAGTGGACAATGTGGACCGCAGTGCAGCTCAGGGCTCTAAACTGAGGGGGGAAAGGGCACCTCGGAGCCGGTCCACAGCTGCCCCGTGACTCAGACCCCACAGCGCCACCCCTCGGGAAGGGCCCCTGCTGCCCGGTCCACGCCCCTCCTGGACCCTGTGCACTCACAGGTGCCATGCCCAGAGCTCCTCTTCCCCCTGCATGTGGCCTCCCTCCAGTGGGGGTGTCCTCTCCTCCCTCCCCAGGACGAGCTCCCAGGAGTACTCAGTGCCTTTCTTTCTGTCACACTTGACCTTAATCACACAATTAGGTTGGGAAAGCCAGGCTCTAGGGGGGCTGCTGGAGCCAAGCACCAGAAATACTGCCTGGGACCCGGGGCCTGGGATCTGGGGCCTGGGATGTGGGACCCGGGGCCTGGGATCTGGGGCCTGGGATGTGGGATTTGGGATGTGGGATCTGGGATGTGGGGCCTGGGATGTGGGATTTGGGATCTGGGATCTGGGATGTGGGGCCTGGGATGTGGGATTTGGGATGTGGGATCTGGGATGTGGGGCCTGGGATGTGGGGCCTGGGATGTGGGGCCTGGGATGTGGGATCTGGGATGTGGGGCCTGGGATCTGGGGCCTGGGATCTGGGACCTGGGATGTGGGGCCTGGGATGTGGGGCCTGGGATGTGGGATCTGGGATGTGGGGCCTGGGATGTGGGATCTGGGATGTGGGGCCTGGGATGTGGGATCTGGGATGTGGGGCCTGGGATCTGGGGCCTGGGATCTGGGGCCTGGGATGTGGGACCCAAGATCTGGGGCCTGGATGGTTTCTCAGCGCAGGGCTGGACACACTCAGGGCCCAATGGCTTCTGGGCCGGTGTCCCGCCTGCCTGGCAGGCCTGTGCTCTGAGCAGATGGCAGCACCTCCTGCTGGTCTTCAGCACAGTGATGAACCCTCTTTTTAAATGTTTTCTCTCAGGAAGTTTCTAAAAACCTCACCAAGGAAAACGAGCAAATCAAAGAGGACGTGGAAGGAATTCGTGCCGAGATGGGCCAGCGCAGGAAGAACTGCTCCCGGGACGCGGCAGCCGGGCTCCCGGAGGCAGAGGCAGGCTCCGCCCTGCAGAGGGACGCGGCCGCCGCCTACGCCCACCCCGAGGTACCGTCCCTCCCCCAGCATGAGCGCCTGGCAGGTGCACTGAGCTCATCCCATCCTGTCGCAGGCCGGGTCCCTGTCGTCCCTCGGCACCTCTGAGGCCCAGAGAGGGCCACGGGTCAGTGTTGAGGGCAGGACTCCGCTGGCACGTGGGCCGGGTCGGCGAGGAGCCAGAGCCAGGAGAGCTCGCAGTCGCCCTGGCTCAGCGGGAAGTGGCGGTGGGGGTCCCAGCACACCGTCACCCGTGTAACGGACACTGTCTGACGCGACTTGATCGACATCCAATGACCCACTTGTTTCAAGTTCCTCCCATTTGCGACCTGTTTGCTCCGGCTTCAGTTCCTACGTTGCGTTCATGTGCTGGGGTGACACGTGATACCATTTAATGTGTCGGGTTGTCCCCTAAATGGATGACCAAGAAACAGCATGAACTAGGAAGCCCACCTGAGTGAGTTGGGGACCAGCGGGTAACAGGTGCAGACGCCGCCAGGCCCAGGGCAGCGGGGGGAGGCGCTGGCCCCGGGAGGGCGGCCGTGACAGCGCCTCACGTGCTTCCTGGGGCCACGCCAGGTGGACGGCAGAGGGATTCCAGGTGCACCACGCAGGGGCCTCCCCCAGGCAGCCAGGCGGGGCGTGGGCGGGGCAGGGCCGAGGCTGCGGTCACCTGGGAGGGCCGGGAGGCGTTGTCCATAGGACGCTGCTGCCTGGGTCGCTCATCCCCCCGGCCTGCGACTCGTAGGCAGAGCAGCTCCTTCAGGGGTGCCGGGTGGGCAGCGCCGCGGTTTGGGGAACCGGGCACATGTGCTCCGAGGGCAGGACAGCAGTCAGCTCAGCCCTGTGGACAGTATGGCGCCTGCACCCTGCCCAGTTCGTGACTCAGAACAAACCCGTTCCAAACCAGAGAACAGGGATGAGGAAGGCCTCTCGTTTCCTGGCTTTGCCCCATGACGACTGCTTGCTGCTTTGGGGAAGTATCATATTCCTTCAACCATCACACACACCCCATGTCAGGCCCGACGTGCTGCTGCTGGGCAGTGCCTGCTCCGCCTCCTGGGCCCCTGGAGCAGGTCTGAGCTCGGAACCCAGGGGAGGATGTTTGGGCTGGAAGAGAACCTGGGGGCACCTCCGTGGCCCTGGGCGCCCCTGCCCGCCTGCTGCCCAGTGTGGGCTGCTGCCGCCCCTGGCCCTGCCCCGGCGGCCAGGCTGAGCTCTGAGCTCGCCGCGGTCTCGGTGACGCATCGTGTGGTGTGAACCAGCTCAGGTTTCCTGAGGGCAAACAGCAAACCAGCCAGACTCCCAGATTCCCTCCTTGCTCAGCAGAGGCCTGTCCCCCCCAAGGCCCAGTCATCACACTGCGGTCAGCACAGTCCACCCAACCCGCCGTGGGGACAGAGCCAGGACCAGCGAGGGAGGGGCCCGCTGGGCTCGTCCTCTCTCACCCGCCCCTTCAATGAGCCCGGCTGAGGGGACCATTGTAGAAGATCCTCGGCTTCTCAGAATGGGGGGGGGGGGGCGGCAGGGGGGACAGTCGGGAGGCCTCTTGCCAAGAAGGTCCTGGCCTGGAGGTGGTGAGGGCTCTGGGCGCGGGCGGGGAGAGGGCACAGCCAGACGCCAGGAACTGAAATCACACGCAGAGTCTTGGATAACGGATGAGGGAACCACGGCGGCCCGAGGCCTGTGCCAGGAATGCAGGGGTGACGCTTTCTGGCCGGGCCAGTGCGAGGTCGTGCTCTTCCCCGCAGCTCCCAGAGGGCGCCGAGCCCTGCCCGTCCCTCAGAGCCCGGAATTAAAGCCGCGCCTGAGGCTTGCCCCGGGGGACGGGGGCGTTTGAGATGCAGAGGGCACCTGGGCCCAGCACAACGCAGGGGGCAGCTCCCAGCGTCTGAGTCAGGGGTGGGGCGGCACTGGAGTCAGGCAGCTCTGTCCAGTGGAAACAAGGGGTCCCCAGGCCTGCGGGCACCGGGGACGCGGACGAGGTTCCGGAGTCCTGGGTCACGCTGTGGGCCTGTGGGTCCCGTGGGGAGAGCCTGGCTCTGGGGCAGCCGCCTGACCTGCGGAGGCTGTGGTCTCAGGAGCCCCGCAGCCTCTGACTGGCTGGCGTTGGACCAGACGGCTGCTCGGCCGGCGCCCCCTGAAGCGAGCACAGGCCCGGCCTGCAGAGCGGTGGTGAGACAGACACAGGGCACGTCTGACCTCACAAGGTGCTCACGGAAACGTAGCCCTGGCACCTCTGGTCCTGTCTCCCCGGTCACCTCGACAGCCAGAGACAGGAGGCGGGGCGGCAGGGGCAGTGGGCGCCTCTCAGGCCCCAGCCGGGACCCCTGCCTTCCAGGGCTCGGTCTCTTCATGCCGGGAGCCAGGGCGGTGTCTGTGGCTGGGAGGGCCCAGCCTCCTCCAGGCCAGACCTTAGTCAGCAGAGAGGCCTCCTGGGCAGCGAGGCGGTGGCCGCCAGCCGCTCAGTGACTCTGAGGCCGCTCTGCCCCTCGGGCTCAGGCGTCTGGGGCAGAGGCTGGTTTCCAAGTGGCTCTGCTCTCCCTCCGCCGCCGCCTGACGGGCCCCGGGGGGACAGGCCGTGCCTCCTCTTCGGAGGGGCCTTTTGGGGCTTCAGTGGCTGAGAGCAGGGCTGGGCCACACCCCGAGGCCCCCACCACCTCCTGGATGGGCCACTGCCCTCAGGAGCGGGAGCCCCGGGGCCCTGGTTTTGAGCGCCCTGGCCCCGGCCCTACTCAGGAGCCTGTGTGCCTGTCTCCTGATCCGTGAGTGGGCTGATGGTCGAGTCCCTGCCTCGGAGGAGCCACCAGGAGAGTGAGCTGGTCACGAGGTAGAGACAGGAGCCCTGGCTCTGAGACGAAGGCTGAGTCTGTCCTTGCTGTTGCCTGGGCTCCAGTGCTGCCCCACCTGGCCTGCCACTGTGTCCCCTGACCCTGACCGGTGGCCTGGCCGCTGTGTCCGCTGAGCCTGACGGGTGGCCTGGCCGCTGTGTCCCCTGAGCCGGACCGGTGGCCTGGCCGCTGTGTCCCCTGAGCCGGACCGGTGGCCTGGCCGCTGTGTCCCCTGAGCCTGACGGGTGGCCTGGCCTCCCTGTGTCCCCTGAGCCTGACCGGTGGCCTGGCCGCTGTGTCCCCTGAGCCTGACGGGTGGCCTGGCCGCTGTGTCCCCTGAGCCTGACCGGTGGCCTGGCCGCTGTGTCCCCTGAGCCTGACCGGTGGCCTGGCCGCTGTGTCCCCTGAGCCTGACGGGTGGCCTGGCCTCCCTGTGTCCCCTGATCCTGACGGGTGGCCTGGCCTCCCTGTGTCCCCTGATCCTGACGGGTGGCCTGGCCTCCCTGTGTCCCCTGAGCCTGACCGGTGGCCTGGCCTCCCTGTGTCCCCTGAGCCTGACCGGTGGCCTGGCCTCCCTGTGTCCCCTGATCCTGACGGGTGGCCTGGCCTCCCTGTGTCCCCTGATCCTGACAGGTGGCCTGGCCTCTCTCTGTCCCCTGAGCCTGACCGGTGGCCTGGCCGCTGTGTCCCCTGATCCTGACCGGTGGCCTGGCCGCTGTGTCCCCTGAGCCTGACCGGTGGCCTGGCCTCCCTGTGTCCCCTGATCCTGACGGGTGGCCTGGCCTCCCTGTGTCCCCTGATCCTGACGGGTGGCCTGGCCTCCCTGTGTCCCCTGAGCCTGACCGGTGGCCTGGCCTCCCTGTGTCCCCTGATCCTGACCGGTGGCCTGGCCTCCCTGTGTCCGCTGATCCTGACGGGTGGCCTGGCCTCCCTGTGTCCCCTGATCCTGACCGGTGGCCTGGCCTCTCTCTGTCCCTCTGAGGAACAGTATGAAGAGAGGTTCCTGCGGGAGGAGACTGTGTCCCAGCACGTCAACTCCATCGAGCTCCTGCGGACGCGGCCGCTGGCTCCGCCCGAGCTGGTGCGGCCACAGCAGCCCGTCCAGAGGCAGGTGTCCCTGCGGGGCCGGCCGGCCTCCAAGCCTGCCATCATCCGGGGCATCACCTACTACAAAGCCCAGGACCCCGAAGACGAGAACGACATAGAGGAGCAGCGTGAGTGGGGCCAGCAGGGCTGGGGCCGGGTGGGCAGCCATGTCCCCCGAGAAGCCGTGTCCCCCTGGGCCGTGGGCAGGTCCCTGACCTCACAGGCTTTCAGAAGACCGCGTGGCAGCGAGGAGTCACTCTCCTGCCTTCCCTTCCCCGGGCCTGGCCTGCCTGACACGCGGCGCTCCCGCCTCTGACTCCCGGAAGCCCTGGCTGTCCCCGGTCTCTCCTGCTTCCTGAACCCCGTGCCCCTCCCCGCCTTCCCCTTCCCACACCCCGAAGGGTCCAGTCTGGCTCGTCCCCAGCTCTGCTCACCCAGTTGCTGTCATAAGCCTTTTGCCCATTTTTAACTGTTGTCTTTTTGTCATTGATTTGGGGAGGCGGGCGTATTTGGGGACAAGTGCCTTGTCAGTCGCGTGAGCCGCGATGCCGCCTCACTGCCTGCGGCCTGCACCCGGGTGCCTTGATGAACAGAGATTCACCAGCTCACCCACCAGTTCCGTGGGGCCACACCTCTGGTCCCTAGGAAAGCTGCCTCCCACCTTCCTTCTCCACTCAAACCCTGCTCACGCGCCCATTTCACTCAGGATAACAACTGAAGTCCACATGGAGCACCCAAGCCCCCCCACTGGCTCCCACGTCCCTCTGCCCTCACCTCCTGCTACCCCCACCTCGAACCCTCCTCTTTGTCCACATTGGCCTCGCAGGCATGTTCTGGCCCCAGGGCCTTTGCACGGCTGCTGTTTCCCCCAGCGCACTCTTCCCTGCAGCTGCTCGGCTCCCTCACGTCCTCAGGCCTCTGCTCATCTCCCTTCCAGCGAGTAGAGCTGACCACTGTACCCATCACGCAGGTCCCCTGCCGCTGCTCCCGGACCCTCCGCACCCACCAGCTTCTCTCCATACACTGCCATGTGCCCGGCCCGTGTCTACTGTCAGTGTGTCCCTCACTAGGTGGCTCTGGGGGGCAAGGACCTTACTCTGCTCACCGTTGTCTGTGCCATAAACACGGGATGAGTGGACAGATGGGTGGGGCCCGGGTCCTGGGGGAAAGCCTGTCGGGCAGGGCCTTCGCTCTGTGCCCCCTCCCGCCTTCCTCTAAGCGCCCATCTCTGACTCAGTGCGTCGTTTGGGGGAAGAAACCCTCTTATCAACCCGCCACGGGTTGTCTGCCCTGGGTCCTGCGCTGGCCGTTCTCCCCGAGTCACGTGAGCCTGTTTGCTCCCCAGAGGACCAGTTCTTCAGCGGTGACAGCGGAGTGGACTTGCTGATTGAGGACCAGCTGCTGAGACACCACAGCCTGCTGCCCACTGTGCCCCGCAGGCCGGCAGCCACCCATCACGGCGCTGCTGCGACCATGGCCCCGTCCTCCCCATGGCCTCAGGCCTCCCCCCCGACCCCCCATGTCCCTGCCGCCTCTGCCTCCGCCCAGCCAGTCCCCACACCACCGCCAGCCACCGTCCCTCCAGCCCCCAGGGGAGAGGCGCTCCTCCCACCTCCCACTCGGGCCTCAGCCACCACCGCGGCCCACACGGCCACCCCTCCTCTTCCGGCCCCAGCTGCCTTGCCGGTGGCTCCTGGGGACACACACTCGTCCCCCGTGCCTCCCACCGCAGTCAGGACAGACTCCCTGGGGAAGGCCGCCCCTGATGAGGGCACAGCCTCCGCCAGCCCCACCCTGCACCCGGAGGAGGACGACATCCGGAACGTCATAGGTGAGCTCACGCCACCTGCCTGGCCGGTCCGCTCAGGTGAAAGGCTGAGCCTCGCGATCGTGGGAGCCGGAGCTCGGGCTGAGCCACAGAGAACGGGCCTGTGTCGTGCCCTTGGCTGCGACCAGCTTTGCACCCGGGTCCATGGACCCGAAGGGCCGACCTTGGTCAAGTGCATGGGAGCCAGGGGGGCCACGGCCTGGCTCCGCGAGGTCTGCAGCCACGTGCCCGGCGCTTCCTGTCCTGGGCTGTGCGGTGGGCAGTGGCAGTGGGTCTCGGGGCCTGGAGTTTGCGGAGGCCCAGCAGGTGAGGCCTCCGGTGACGGCCGGACACAGTGGGGGCCCAGGGGATGCCGCTTTCTTTCCCCTTCCTGCCGGGGGGTGGGGGGCGGCAGCTGGCCGTAGCTGGGCCGTCCCTCCGCATGGGCAGTGTGAGGCTGCACCTGCTCAGCTTCTGCAGGATGCCGGGACCTGAGGGAGGCCCATGGCCACCCCGGCCGGGGGCAGTCCCTGAGCCCAGCGCCCACAGTCCCTTCTGCCATGGAGTGAGCACCCGGGCCCCCTTTTCCACCGAGCCACCTTGAGGTGGAGGGACAGTTTGCCCGGAAACAGGAATCTGCCCCTGGGCCTCCGCCGCGGCCCTCACCCGGCTGATGGTGTTTGCCGCCTGGAGCCCCTTCCGTGGCCGCCGTCTCCGCCACCCGCCCGGCCTGGCCCCACCCAGGCCTCTGCCCGCCCCTCCCTGGGGGTTGCCACTCGTGGGTTTTCTGGTGTGACCCCAACTGGGTCCTGGGGCTCTCCGCTCCCTCCAGCAGTTTGGCTGAGAAGCTGAGGACCTGACACATGTGGTGTCCTGGCGGCCAGGGCCGCGGTGAGCGGGCGGGAGGGGACATTCTCTCTCGTTGGTCAACGCCCTGTTCAACTAGAGGGACGGCGTGAGGGGGCCGCTCCAGGACCGCCCGCCCGCCCGCCCGCCCGCCGCCGGCGCCGCCTCCTGCATCTTCCTTTCCCTTAACCCGAGGGGGAGGCCGCTGTGCGGGTTGGTTTCTGGAGTCGCCGTTCACTGCCCGTCGCTGTCGAGTGCCCATCGCTGGTGGGGGTGACATTCCCTTTCCAGAACCTTCTCTGCAGCCCGAGCCTGTGCCTGGCTGCTTCAGACCTCCCGGGCTGCGGGCCCAGCGCCTCTCACGTGGCGTCATCTGGTGGCAGTGGCAGTGGCCCGGCCACTGGGTGCTGCGCGACGGCGGCTGGCGGGCGGCGAGCGCGCGGTTCTGACTGGGGCTGGGCGTTAACAGGAACATCCTGTCCCCGACCTGTGACCTGTGCGACCTCCCAAAAGGCCGACCCTATCCTCGGGGAAACTGAAACCAGAGAAATTCCAGAATGAGCGTCAGGGGGAGCCCGGCTCCAGGCGGAGGGGAGGCCGTGGGCACGGGTGGGGGCTGCGTGGGCGACGCCGGAGGAAGCGGCTGTGCCCGGGGCCCAGGCAGCGGACAGACCGGGAGGCGCAGAGACAGTCGGCGTGACAACAGCAGGGCAGCCTGGGTCTCCACAGGCTGGGAAATCCCATGACCGTGATCTGGGGAGAAAGTCTCCCCACCAAGCACCAGCCTGGGGAGGGGGTACACCCGGGCAGGGACCCTGCTGGGCACCCAGACCAGAAATGCCCTCGTCGCTGCCTAAGTCCCCTGCCCAGCAGCTCCCCTGGCCCCGGGCTCACCTGGACACCTCACGGCCCCCCGAGCCAGGCGTTGCCAGGCGAGGGTGGCATGTGAGCAGTGCCCTCCCTGGAGGGGGCTCACCCCAGGGCACAGGACGCCTGGCTTCCCGGCTGGCTGCTGGGCGCCAGGAGGGAGGTGCTTCCCACTCGAACGTCCATTTTACCATTTTATTGTCGAGCAGATGAGCTCCGTCGGGGGACGAGGCTTCGGCTGGTGGTTCTGCTGATGGTCTTAGGGGGACGGGTCCCTCTCCACTGTGCGGCCAGGGCCTAAGCCCCTCCACCTGCCTGCACCCTGCCAACGGCCCCCACTGCGGGGTCAGCCAGGAACAACCACCGTCCGCTTGCAGCGCCTGGCTGCCCCGTCCTGGCCACGGGCTCCTTCCTGGACCGCTGGTGGGGAGCAGAGCCACGGGACAGGGGCAGCTTGGAAGTGGGCGTGGCCTGGAGTTGTGAGAACCTGGAGCTGAGTGTCAGGGAGCAGCTGTCCTGCCCCGGGGCTGCCGTGGCCCAGCCCTGACGGCCGGTGAGGCGTCCTGGGTCTGGCTGCCAGGCTGGCAGTCTGACACCGGCTCTCCACCTGCCTTTCCCCGTCGGCTCAGACGCACGGGTGCAGCACGATGAGCGTGTGCCTGTCATCATGTGTGCCCTGTCACGTGTGCTCTCTGTCATCACGCGTGGTCTTGGACATTCAAGCTTTTCAGGCTTTCGCTCGGCCCAGAGCCAGCTTGTCCTCGTGCTGCGAGGCCTCGATTGGGCCCCAGGCTGCTCCAAAGAGCCGTGCGGGGCATTGCTGAGCTGCTGGCCCATGGAGGCAGACTGACCTCAGCAGGAGCCCAGCCCAGAGCAAGCCGCTGCCCGCTCCCCGTGCAGAGCACAGGCTGGAGGATCCAGAGGCTGGTCTCTGGGCCCCAAACAGCCTGGGCCGAGCCTCTGGGGCAGCTCAGGGGCCGTGGACGGTGCTCCTGGCCACCATAGTGTCCTCGCTTGGGGCACCGTCCTGCTGCCCTGTCCTCACCGAGCCCCAGGCGTCGGCCTGTGCGGGGGGGCCTGCCGAGATGCAGGGTGCCTGTAAGAGGAGCACCCAGCGCTGAGGGAGAGGTTCTGGCATCGGGAAAGGACACAGCGAGGCCCACAGGGACGGGTCTGAGGGGAGAAGTCGGAGGTAGAGGCAGCGAGCGCTGGGGACGGCGGCCCGGGAGGCACGGGCGCAGCAGAGCCCGAGCGGAGCCAGGCAGAGCGCGTCGGGGCCGGTGACTCGGGGCTGAGCCGGCTCCAGAGTCCAGACTCCAGGAGGAACTAGCCACAGGCTTGGGGGGCCTTCTGCCCTCACCCGACCTCTCTCTCCCTCAGGAAGGTGCAAGGACACGCTGTCCACCATCACGGGGCCCACCACCCAGAACACATACGGGCGGAACGAAGGGGCCTGGATGAAGGACCCGCTGGCCAGCGACGAGCGGATCTACGTGACCGACTCCTCCTACGGCAGCACCCTGGTGGAGTTCAGGAACCTGGAGAACTTCAGACAGGGTGCGTGCGGGCCCCGCGGCTCTCCCTCCTCTATCCTCTGCGCAGTCACGCTGGCCTGGGTGTGCCGTGCACGAGACGGGGCCTTCTCCCCCCACCTCCCCCATGGCCTCAGATCTCACGTCTGCCCTCCCTCACGCCCCTGGGACGGGGGCAGCCTGGAGTCAGGACCTCCTTTCCCGCGGCCCTGAGAGCTCGCCACCACGCTCCCCTGGGGCCGAACCTGGGCTCCTGGAGCAGCATGAGGCGAGTGGCCAGAGCCATTTCTATGGGCCGGATGAGGCTGCTGGGCCGTGAATGTAGAAAGTGGGGGAGTAGACAGACCGGGGTGCAGACCCCTGCTCGTCCCGCACCCTGGGCACCGCATGCTGAGCCCGCCTGTTCCCCGCAGGCCGCTGGAGCAACTCGTACAAGCTGCCCTACAGCTGGGCGGGCACGGGGCACGTGGTGTTCGGGGGCGCCTTCTACTACAGCCGCGCCTTCACCCGCACCCTCATCAAGTACGACCTGCGCCGCCGCTACGTGGCCGCCTGGGCCCTGCTGCCCGACGCGGCCTATGAGGAGGCCACGCCCTGGGGCCGGCAGGGCCACTCGGACGTGGACTTCGCCGTGGACGAGAACGGGCTGTGGCTCATCTACCCCGCCCTGGACGAGGAGGGCTTCAGCCAGGAGGTGATCGTGCTGAGCAAGCTCAATGCCGCAGACCTGAGCACGCAGAAGGAGACCACGTGGCGCACGGGGCTCCGCCGGAACCTGTACGGCCACTGCTTTGTCATCTGCGGGGTGCTGTACGCCGTGGACAGCCACAACCAGCGCAACGCCAACATCTCCTACGCCTTCGACACCCACACCAACACGCAGATCGTGCCGCGGCTGCTGTTTGAGAACGAGTATTCTTACACCACCCAGATCGACTACAACCCCAAGGACCGGCTGCTCTACGCCTGGGACAATGGCCACCAGGTCACCTACCGCGTCATCTTCGCCTACTGACCCCCGGCCGGAGCAGATGTGCCCGGCCACTGCACCTTGTAAGTGCATGTGCACGTGTGTGTGTGCATTGCACGTTTGTGTGTGTGCACGAGTGTATGCATGTATGTGTGAATGTGTGTGCGTGTACATGTGTGCACGTGTGTGTGTGCAGATGGGTAAGTGCTGTTCAAAAAATATATATTATTTTGTATAATGTAAAGTGACAGTTTGGGTCTATTTTTTTATATGGATTGTAGATCAATCCATACATTATGTGCTGGCCTCATCCTCCACAGTTTATATTTTTGTGCAAATGAACTTCTCCTTGGACCAGTGACCACCTTCCTTCGAGCCTCTGCCCCTCTGGCTCCCGCGTCTCAATGGCGTGGTCTCCATGTGGGTCTCGCGGCCGAGGCACCTGCAGTGGGAGCGAGGGGGGCAGGAAAGAAGTGCTAGGGGCAGGAAAAATTATGTGCTGGAGAAGTTTTTAAAACCCAGAAAATGCTTTTTTAAATAAAGAAGGAATTTAAAATGACCCCAGTGCGTTTCTGTTCAGCGCTGACGTCTGTCCGGGGCTGGGCCCTCACGGGGAGAGGCATCCACGTGGGAGCCTGTTCTTCCCGTCCATCCGCGCCCCTCCCCGAGGGGGCCTGGTGCTCGCTCGGAAATGCACAGCTGAGCAGTGGGGCCTGGTCCCTGCACCCCCTAAAGCTCGCCACCCATCACTCGCTGCTGGTGTCCCATAGTCCCCTCCTCACCTACCCTCCGCCAGGCTTTCCTCCCTATCCCCCTCCGAACAAGACGCCTGCTGCCCTCAGGCAGGCCCCGTCCTCCAAGTGCACAGACCGGACAGAAAGGGACTCCTGAGGCGACGGGAGGCCAGGCATCGCGCCCCCACGGCCCCGCGGCCCCACTCCGTGCGTCCTACACAGACCTCAGTGGCCTCCCATGACACCCCTCCACGAACAGACCTGAGAAGGATGCCAGTTTTCGAAGTTCGGTTTGTACATGACTCCGTAATGGATCAAGTTTCTCTGTTCATGCCAGTGCCAGAAGCTGAGGGCCAGGCGTGGCCGCCGTGGCAGGCACAGGTTGTCTTGCTCCTGTTGTCTCTGCCTCTCTCTGGTCCTATTCCAGACTTTTCATGTCCCTTTTTCTCTGAGTGGCCATGGCTTTGTTTGTTTGTTGCTTGTTTTCCCAGCTCTGCAGGAATGCACTGTGTTCCTACAGAAGCTGCGTCTGGATGCACGGCCAGGCCACACACACACTCCCAAACGGTTTCACAGCAATCCTACCTATGTGTGTGTGTGTGTGGGGGGGGGGGGGGAGCGGGACAGGGAGGCTGGCGGGGCTGGGGCAGGGCAAGGCCCTGGGGGCTGTTTTCCATGTGACCTGGCTGAGCTCTGGCTGGAGGCCGTGCCTGGCTGAGCACCTGGAAAGCCTGGCAGCGCCTGGGGAGCTGAGTGCAGCAACAGCCGCAGGGCCAGGCCTGGGGCGGAAACCTGGGGCCTTCCCAGAGGCACACAGAGCAGGGGGCTGGCGGCGGGCGGGCGAGACTGGGCTGGAGGGAGCAGGAGGTCTGTCTGCTGCCTCAGAACCAGCCCCCCCTCCAACTCCCTTCCCCACCGGAGCACAGAGGCTCCCAGAGCCAGAGGCAGGAGGGTGGACTCCTCTGTCACCTGGTCAGAGGTCAGAGGCCACCGGGAGGGAGTTGTAAGGATACAGGCCACGCTGCTGCGGGGGGCGGGGGGGGGGGGGGGGCGCACCGTCCCCTCTGGGACCCGGACGGCATCTCCACCCCTTGGGGCACTCAAGCTGCCCGTCTCTCTCTGCCCCTCGCCCTGCTTGTGCCCGGCACGGCAGCTCAGCTGTGCACGGAGCCCCGGGCTCTCGGAGCCGAGCACCCGCAGCTCGCCCTCCTGTTTCCCACAGGCCAGCGTCTGCCGCCACCCGTCAGGGTGCGTGGAAGCGATTCCTGTGCGGGCTGAGGACCCGAGGGTGTCCTGGCTGCCCCTCCCAGAGGCGCTGCAGAAACACCACCCGCGGCTGAGGAGCCACGTGGTTGCTCAAAGCCCGTCTCAGCCAAGTGGTGCTTTGAGATGCGGAAAGTTCCTGGGCACCGGGGGCCTCCCGCAGGGCCTTCCCGGCACCCCTCCCGGAGCCCCCTTCCCTCTGGGGAGGCCTCCCTAGCCCGCCATCTCTCACCAACTTGCTCCTGTGTGCGGCCAGCCCGGGACCACGTTCCCACAGGAAACCACGGCGGGAAATGGGGGGAGCAACCCCTGCCACGGGCTAGACAGGCGGCAGCTCTGAGGGTCCTGAAGGAAGCCGTGGCTCCTCCGTGGGCCCCACCTTGACTCTCAGAAAGCAGCTCCAATGGGAGTGCTGACTGCAGAATTGGGGGGTTGTGCCTGACACCCCCACCGTCCTGTGCCCTCTGCCAGTGGGCTCGGGCCCTGCCTGCTGCTGTGCCAGCTGGGCTGCCAGGGCCACAGCGTGTGACCCACGGGCCTGCTGTGCAGATGGCATGTCCCCAGCACGTGGTAATGGTCACGCCCGGTCAGGAGCCCCAGGGACTCGGAGCTGGCGGGTCTCTCGGTTTTGTCTGCAAGGCTCTTCCCAGGGACTCAGCACAGGGACGCTGTCCCAGAGGGAAGCTACCAGGGCAGACCCCAGACCAGAGCTGCCCCTCCCCTTCCCAGCGAGAGGGACGAGTGGGACGGAAGGACATGCAGGAGGGCAGCCCTGCTGAGAAGCTGTCGACCTGCCAGGAGCCCCACACTGGTTCCCCCCTGCTGCCTCGGGTCACAGCTCCTCCTGAACCCCCTCATCCACCCACTCGGACCTCCCTCTCCCCTTTGCACTTCTCTCCCATCTTCGTGTTTTTCCCACTTTTCCAGAGACCAGAGGCTTGGGAGCAAATCTCGTCTTGTTCCTGGGCTGGACACCCCGCCCCCTCCTCTTTCTCCCTTTCCCCTCCCCTTCCCTCTTCGTCCAAGAAAATCCATTTCACAGGAAGTTCCATATTCACAGCCAGTTATTTTCAAGCATTTCCCCAGTTCTGACATCTCCCCCAGCTAGTCCAGGCCTTACGCCCCGCCCACTTCTGCTCTGCCCCGCCCACCTCTGCTCTGCCCCGCCCACCTCTGCTCTGCCCCGCCCACCTTTGCCTGCCCCATCCCTCCTCTGCCCCGCCCGGTCCAGCTCTTTGCTGCCCTGACTCTGAGGATTCACACACAGTTTTCCGGTTCCCTGCTCCGCCTTCCACCTCCAGGGCCGTGTTGCTCTGTGAACTGTGGAGCACAAGCTAGGTCTTGGCCTCAAAAGACTTAGCTCCTCGTGGAACTTCCCTGCAGGCAGCAATCACCCGGGGGGTGTTGGCAGTCCCAGGGCCTGGTCACACTCTAGACCAAGGAATCGCAATGTGGGGTGGGAGCCAGGCAGCAGCATTTTTAAAGAGCTCCCTCCCCCCATGACTCCAGCAGCAGCGTTTGGGACCCACGGACACAGTGCTGCATGGAAGGGGTCAGACTGACCGGTCTTCAGAGCCTCGTCCTCAGCCCGGCCAGGAGCCTTCTCTGGGTGCCTGCCAAGGGCACTGGGCTCTCAGGGCCTCTTGGGGCAGACCTGCTACAGGGAGGGCTGACAGGGCCCAGGATACCCACCACCACAGCAGGCCCGGTGCTGGTGCCGGGCGGACAGACACTGCCTCCCTCCTCCCTGGACAGAGCCCTAGCTGTGAGGGCTCACCTCTGATTCCTGCCCTCAGCTGGGTGTGCAGCCCCCTGAGCAGCAGGAGGCAGTTGATTCTCAAGATGGACCCTGTGGGCCTTCAGAAAGAGCGACAGGCAATACTGGTCACCCTCAAGCCCAGGCCGGTGCCAGCAGCCACCACCAGGCCCGCCTCCGGTCTGACACTGTCCCTCAGCCTCCGCTCTGACAGGTGCCTGCACGGTGCTTCTCACACTCAGATCCCATCCGATGGCTGGGCCCACCTCAGGCTGACTCCAGAGGCCTGAGTCGGGCCAGAGAGCTCGCGGTAGTAAGTTACAGGTGCTGCCGCCGCCGCCGCTGCTGCTGCAGATCCGCTGGCCCGGGCCTCCTCCCAGGCCCACGGCCACTGCTCAAGGCGGAGGGCTCAGTGATGGGACCAGGGAACCGGCGGGGAAGGCCCCGTCCGCCTCCCGAGTCCCCACAGTCCTGCCTCCGCACTGGGCAGCGTGTCCGTGGGTGGGTGCATGTGGTGACAGGGCTGCCACACCAGGAAGACGCCGGGAAAAACGACATCTGTCTGTGGCTTCCTAAACGCTCAGTAATTCAATTCAACAAGAAGTATCGAGTTAGCCTAGGATGCCCGAGCCATGCCGGCTCCGGGGCAGAGCCTGGGAGGGTCCCGTCCGCAAGGTGAGACACTGCGCTTGCTGCGGGAGGGTTTGGAAAGGAGGGCTGGGTTCTGCTCTGGGAGCAAAAAAATCCAAATTCCTGCGGGGTTTTCCCTCCAGCCCCTGCACACCCTGCTTGTGCCAGATGGTGAATCTCGGGAAGGTGGGACGAGCCCGTGTGCTGCCAGCTGTGGTCGCCCGAGGCGGCCCTTGGGGCCGGTGGAGGCCGGAGGTCCAGCGTTTCGGCCTCCTTCCTGCTCACGCTGCGGGAGAATTCGCGGCCCTGCGGAGCACAGCGTGAAAACAGCAGCAGGAGGGCCTGGGACGAGGCTCCCTCAAGGCTGCCTGCCGCCGAGGGCAGTGTGTTGTCTGATGGGTACAGTCAGAGCAGGAGAGAATTCCAGCGTCGCTGGGAAACAGAGATGAGGTGGTAAAATTCGCCTTCTGTGTCCTGGAACCAGCAGCCAGCGTGTGGGCGAGCTCCATGGCCACCTAGAGCTCCTGAGAGCAGCTGCGTGGGGCAGCACCCGTCTCTTGGGCTCAGGAACCCACCCTGGAGTTGACCTTCACTGTCCTGTGGGAACATGGGCCCATGGAAGAGACATCATTCATGTGTCTTTGAGGACAAGGGTGTGGTCCGGTTCACCGGTCCAGCTTCCCTCAGGTCCATGGTAGACGTGCAAGGTTAGTGCACATGTAGCGTCTGTGGCAAAGGTTCCAGCTCTGGGGCCACGGCCTGCAGCCCCGTCTGTGCAGCCATTCTTGCTCTGGGTTAATCCCAAGTCCCCCCAGGCCTCGGACGCCAAGCAAGGCAGCTAAGAAATGAGAATCAGGGTGGCGTGGAGGCCCTCGGTCTCCTGTGGGGCCAGCTGATGTTTGCAGGGACAGGCTGGGCCTGTGGTCAGCCGGAGTCGTCCGCCTTGGGTCCCTGCGTAGTCTTGCAAGACGATCCATGTCTTAATGCGGGCGAGGCATCTGCCTTAAAGTCCTTTACTTCTGGACCAAAGCGTTTCAGTGCTGGGTCTGGAGATGAGTGATCTCAACACCAGCCTCTCTCACCATCTCCTAGTCCAGCGTCCACGCCTGGACTCAGGGCCAGCAGCGGCACCCCAGGGCCGGGTGGAATGTCACCCCTGAGTGCTGGGACTTGCGCAGAAGGGGGCCTTCAATCCTGGCAGCAGCCAGCTCTTCACCCCTCGGGGTCGCACCTGGATGGGACTGAGGTCCAGGGGAGAACCAGGCAGCAGCCCCGGGCGGGGCCTCCCACGCTGCCCTCAGCACACGCCTCTGAGGGGACGATCTGGCCCCAGAACCTGAGCACTGGCCCTGGCCGTGGGACCCCTGGCCCTGAGTGTGTCTCACACCCACCCCCCCAGGACGTGTGCTGCGTTCCTCGCTGCCTAGTGTTCCCTTCCAGCTTAAAGGCCGGACAATGTGGCACAGGAGAAAGGGCGTGGCTTGAAGCCAGGACAGCTTGGCCAGTTGCCCATGTCCCCACCTGGGACACGGGGACAGAGACCCATGTCATGAGGCTGTGCAACGTCTAAGGTGCCACGCAGGTCAGCGCTGGGCGGCGCCCCAGAGCTTCCTCAGTGGCCTCGCTGCACTGAGACGACCGGGCGAAGGGCGCGCTGTGGGCACGTGGGAGATCTCACCCGAGGCACAAAAAGAGTGGATGCACCACAAACACAGGAAGTGGCCCCGTGCCAACAACGGAGGCGCCGTCAGATAACTACAGGGTACGAGCCAGAAGAGCCTCCTGTTGACGGCACCACGGATGGTGCAACCAATGCCACTGTGGCATTGTCCTTTGAGATCCCAAATTTGCTACAACCACATCCACATTCAGTGGGAAGTCCCATGGGGCAATGTTGTGGGACCTGGTGGCTGGGTCAGGGTGGTAATGGGAACTGGTCAGAGCTGGGTGCAGGTGGGGAGGACCTGGTCAGGGCTGGGTGCGGGTGGGGCGGGCCTGGTCAGGGCTGGGTGCGGGTGGGGAGGGCCTGGTCAGGGCTGGGTGCGGGTGGGGCGGGCCTGGTCAGGGCTGGGTGCGGGTGGGGAGGGCCTGGTCAGGGCTGGGTGCGGGTGGGGCGGGCCTGGTCAGGGCTGGGTGCGGGTGGGGAGGGCCTGGTCAGGGCTGGGTGCGGGTGGGGAGGGCCTGGTCAGGGCTGGGTGCGGGTGGAGCGGGCCTGGTCAGGGCTGGGTGCGGGTGGGGAGGACCTGGTCAGGGCGGGGTGCGGGTGGGGAGGACCTGGTCAGGACTGGGTGCGGGTGGGGAGGGCCTGGTCAGGGCTGGGTGCGGGTGGGGAGGGCCTGGTCAGGGCTGGGTGCGGGTGGGGAGGACCTGGTCAGGGCGGGGTGCGGGTGGGGAGGACCTGGTGGCTGGAGGGACAGGGCAGCATCTTGTCCTGTTCATTGTTGCTTTGTTGGCTGTTCAGTTCATGAATTCCGTGCTTTGCTGTTTCACAGCTTTCCCTTCTTGTCACACCTCTGAGCCCCACTCCCAACACTTCCTCCCCAGCACAGCTCTGACACGAGCATTTACTGAAGCTGTGGGGCCAGGAAGAGGGCTTGTCCTCCGGCCACGGGCTGTGTCTGCTGGCTCTCTCCGAAGAGCTGCCTGGGCCTGGCTTTCCACCGTCTCACCACGCCTTGGGAACGAGTGTACTTGTGCCTAAGGAAGCCTGGTGTCCGCCACTCACGTGTCTGAACTTGTACTGGAACTACATTCATGTGTCTGGCTCACAGACGACCATGAACTCAGGAGGCGGACCACGCCGTGAAGAGCCTGCCGGGCCCACACACCGGGCTGGGCAGAGGCCTGGGTGGGACTGAATCACCCAGCGCCAGGGGAGGATAAAGGATGAGTTTTTAGATCATTTATTTTCCTGCAAGGATTGTAGTTCAAATATCTGGACACAATAAAGGAAACTCTTCCGTCACCAGTCAGCGGCTTGAGGCTTTCTGCCTCCTTACTAATCACTTAACATGGAAGATGCATTTGATCTTTTATCTTTTTACAGAACAAAACAAGGCAAGCTTACAAATTCTTTATTTAGCTTTCAGACCCAGATCAAGTGTTGCCTTGCCAGGATGCCCGGCAGCACGTAGTCTGTCCTCAGGGCCTCCTTGTGCTGTAACCCAGCAGGTGAAAGGGAGACACCCGCCTCCTCTTGCCCTCACCCGCTGGACAGCACCGCCCTCGGGGCTTCCTCCTCAGGCCCGACCTCCTCGCCTGACGCCCTGGGTGGCCCAGCCACTCTGCCGCGTGACCAGAGCAGGACACTGGCACCCGAGGTGCCGAGCGGCTGTTGGCCCACCTGGAAGCCTGGCTCCCGGTGAGTTGAAGGTCCCAGGTGCATCTGCTGAGAAGACGGACCTGTGATCCGTCAGGATGGTCACAGCGGGACAGGCCACGCCTCCTGGTTTAACTAATGGCCACCAACCTCAGGGACCAGCAGCAAAACGGGGAGCTTGTGACCGTGGCAAACGCTAAACTGTGGCTCTCAAGGTGCTGACTCTCTAATGCTCACGGCAAACCCATGCGGAGCGTGCCAGCGCCTGGCAGGGCTGACAGGTCCCACCGGCGCGGCCTGTCCAGAGCCCTCCTCACACGCCTTGTCCCGCAGGACCCGGACACCACGCGCACCGCCGGGTCCTGGTCTCACCCGAGCGGACCTGCTGGGGCCGCCACCGACCATGTCAGCCAGCAGGACACGCGGGCACCCTCGGGCAGGACACGCTGGGCCCTCAGGCAGGACACGCGGGCGCCCTCGGGCAGGACACGCTGGGCCCTCGGGCAGGACACGCGGGCGCCCTCGGGCAGGACACGCGGGCGCCCTCGGGCAGGACACGCTGGGCCCTCGGGCAGGACACGCGGGCGCCCTCGGGCAGGACACGCGGGCGCCCTCAGGCAGGACACGCTGGGCCCTCGGGCAGGACACGCGGGCGCCCTCGGGCAGGACACGCGGGCGCCCTCGGGCAGGACACGCTGGGCCCTCGGGCAGGACACGCTGGGCCCTCGGGCAGGACACGCGGGCGCCCTCGGGCAGGACACGCTGGGCCCTCGGGCAGGACACGCTGGGCCCTTGGGCAGGACACGCAGGCGCCCTCGGGCAGGACACGCTGGGCCCTCGGGCAGGACACACGGGCGTCCGTGGGCCAAGTCAGGATTCTGCTTCCTAGAAAATTAAAAACAATCTCACACCCTGGGGGAGGGGCCAGAATGAAAATTTCTTACATCCCATGGTCTTTCTCTCAGGCCTGGTTCTTGTTTTTTAGATAAAAGTTATAATTAGTGTCCATATTAGCAGCAAGATCCTTGATTTCTGTAGGTTAAAAGGACTCATTACTAACAAAAGTGTCCTTTTTGTAAAAGTAATGAGGGGCCCATGGGGACAAGTGTCTCCGCTTGGAGGCCTCAGGGGACTCATTTGGAGGCCAATGCGGGTGAAACAGCGAGAACAAAAGGTCATTTCAAAGCCAGTGAGTCCCTGGGGGCGGAGGACTGACAGTGGCCAAGGTGTCCCTCTGGCCCTTAGTGGTTATTTCTAGGAGGAACTTGGAGGCGGAGGTCGCCTGGACACTTCGATGTGTTAGAGACTCAAATACAAGGACAAGCTGGTCCCTGCAAAGTTTTCCTGCCTAGTTTTCCCACGTGAGCTTAGGAGAGGGGGAGCCAGGTCAGAGCCGGCAGCTCAGGCGGGAGGACGGAGAACCGGAGAGCCGCTGAGTCCCAAGCCCTCTGCCTGCTGCTCAGACACCGGGAGACTCGGATCCCTTCGCTGCCCTCAAATGCCTCCGTGCCTCCTTTTACCAACAAGACACAAAGCACCGCCCGCATCGCAAAGATGAGAGGGTGCCGTTTGCCCGTGTGCATGAGCCCCCATGACCGGACAGAGGTATATAGCGCGGCGAGTGACAGATGCCTGGCGGACGCCGGGGCGTGGAGACCAAGCCGCAGGGCCTCCCTCAGTTTTCTGGGACCCGACTCGGCAGGCAGCACAGGGCGCCCACCCGTCAGCGGAGCCGGCACACCTGGGGCTTGTGCTTCTCCAGCAGCTGCACGGCCACCCCACTCGGCAGCGCTGGCGCCCAAAGGGCCCAGCCTCCCCCAGAGCACACCTCCGCTCCGCACAAGCATGCAGACTCCACTTAAGAATGTGATAACTTAGACCATTATAAGCATACGTATCCCCCAGAGTTCCTGGCTGCCTGAGGGGTGTGCCCTCATCTCAGAGAGAAGGGGCTCCCAGCCATGGGGACTGGGGACAGGGTGCAGCCCTCTGTCCCACCTGCCCTCATCCTGACGCCCCAGCCCCCACGTGAGGAGGTGCTGCCAGCTGTGGACGTGCTGCCGTCTTTGGTGGGGGAGCGGGTCCTGAGCACCTGCGGCTGGGCAGGGACAGGGCCGGGGCACGGACAGGGCCGGCTGGGCACGGACAGGGCCGGCTGGGCAGGGACAGGGCCGGCTGGGCAGGGACAGGGCCGGCTGGGCACGGACAGGGCCGGCTGGGCAGGGACAGGGCCGGCTGGGCAGGGACAGGGCCGGCTGGGCACGGACAGGGCCGGCTGGGCAGGGACAGGGCCGGCTGGGCACGGACAGGGCCGGCTGGGCACGGACAGGGCCGGCTGGGCACGGACAGAGCCGGCTGGGCATGGACAGGGTCGCGGGGAGGGGAGGTGCAGGGGAGGCAGAGCTCTGCGAGGCTCAGTGCAGAGGAGGAGCCCGAAGACCACAGCTCTTGTCCAGCTCGCTCACATGACAGAGGACGAGGAGCAGGGCCCGGTGGGCACCCCGAGAAGTCAGTGCACCCCAGGGGGAACGGCCCTGGGGCATCAGCCAGGATGCCAGGTCAGAGGGTGTGCACAGACTCCAGTGGTCAGCACTGGGAAAGGGCACCGTTGATCCTTGCGTGTCACACACCAGCTTCTGAGGAGCCCATTCTCTCACAGGGCTAAACCCAGGCACCCACCCGGGTGGCGGTGAGCTTCAAAACATGGCATCTGAGCCACCAATTCCTGCAGCAGAGCCCCTGCTGCTGGATCCCCGCAGACTCTGAATCTTTCCTTTCCTCTCTTAAGAGGGGGCACTGGTAGTGTGGGGGAGGGGAGGGCATGGGGAGGGGAGGGCGTGGGGGAGGGGAGAGTGTGGGGGAGGGAGAGTATGGGGGGAGGGAGAGTATGGGGGAGGGGAGAGTATGGGGGAAGGGAGGGTGTGGGGTAGGGTGTGGGGAGGGGAGGGTGTGGGGGAGGGGAGGGTGTGGGGGAGGGAAGGGTATGGGGGAGGGGAGGGTGTGGGGAGGGTGGGTGTGGGGGAGGGGAGTGGGAAGGGTGTGGGGGAGGGAAGGGAGTGGGGGAGGGGAGGGTGTGGGGAGGGAGGGTGTGGGGGAGGGGAGGGCCTGAGGAGGGAGAGGTGGAAGCGGCCGAGCGTGTGGAGGAGCTCCGTGTGGAAATAACATTCCTCGGGAGGACAGGAGGGAAGACTCACCGTAGGAAAGGGCAGAACTGAGCGGAGGAGGAGGCCCAGCGGTTACAGCTCAGTCCACCAGGGGCGGGCGGGAGGACTGAGCTCTGACTGCCTTTTCCCTGGAGAATGAACATCGTTGCCATCTCCCGGATCCCCATCTCCCGGGATCCCCATCTCCCGGATCCCCATCTCCCGGGATCCCCATCTCCCGGATCCCCATCTCCCAGGATCCCCATCTCCCGGATCCCCATCTCCCAGGATCCCCATCTCCCGGATCCCCATCTCCCAGGATCCCCATCTCCCGGATCCCCATCTCCCGGATCCCCATCTCCCAGGATCCCCATCTCCCGGATCCCCATCTCCCGGATCCCCATCTCCCGGGATCCCCATCTCCCGGATCCCCATCTCCTGGATCCCCATCTCCTGGATCCCCATCTCCCGGGATCCCCATCTCCCGGATCCCCATCTCCCGGGATCCCCATCTCCCGGATCCCCATCTCCCGGATCCCCATCTCCCGGGATCCCCATCTCCCGGATCCCCATCTCCCGGGATCCCCATCTCCCGGATCCCCATCTCCCGGATCCCCATCTCCCGGGATCCCCATCTCCCGGGATCCCCATCTCCCGGATCCCCATCTCCCGGGATCCCCATCTCCCGGATCCCCATCTCCCGGATCCCCATCTCCCGGGATCCCCATCTCCCGGGATCCCCATCTCCCGGATCCCCATCTCCCAGGATGCATCCGCAGGAACCCAAGCCCGCCTGTCTGCACCGGGTCTCGGAGTAGAAGACCCGCTGCTTCTCACAGGGCAGCAGAGAAGACCCAGCACGGACGCTCAGCCCCGTGGCTCGAGCCACAGAAGACACGGGCGCTGTGGTCTGACCTCGGGTGTTGGGTGTCTCAGTGCCACTGAGCCTCCATCTCAGGCCCTCCGGCGCCCCGCCCGGCCGCCCCGTGTGGTGAGGTGTGGACGTGGTGGACGTGCAGGCAAGCCCCGCCGGAGGGCTCTTCCCCGGCTCCCGGGCTCTGCTGGGGTGCGCTCGGCGCCTGGTTGGAAACCCGTCTCCGACACGCAGCGCGCACAGTGGGTTTGCACTGGATGCGTGAGGAGCGGCGTGGCCGTGGGCGCTGCAGGCTGGAGCCCAGGGCGGGCAGAGGGCGCGGGTCTGACGGGAAAGGTGACACACACACACAGCGAAGCGCAGCTCAGAGAGTGCAGAGAATCTACTTGAGGCCACACGGGAGGGGACAGGGCCACGCGCCCGAGAGGCGCCTGGGGCTGCATCCGGGCTCGCCCAGGAGAGGGCAGTGGAGACGGAGCAGCTCCTTTTCTCTCTGTCCCCAGACTCCACCACGAGGAGCTCTCGGAGCCACCTGGCAGGCGGAGGAGCACCTGCTGCAGCTCGGGGTCCCTCGGCTCCCACGGCTCCCAGGCAGCGGGTGCTACTGCAGGGAGCCCGGGAGGGTGCTGAGCACGCGGGCGGCCTCGGCGGCTGCGGGCGGGGAGCTGAAGGAGCTGGTCTGGTTCTGCTGCTGGGCGCGGAGGGGAGGCGGCACCGAGGAGCTTTTGATGTGGAGGACCCTGGTGTCCATCACCTGGCAGTCGATCTGCATCATTACCTCGTAGTCCTGCCCGTTGATCACGTTCTCTGCGGAGGAAAACAACAGGTGAGCGGGCAACACGCAGAGCCCGGCCACAGCCGGACCCAGCGAGACACAAAGGAGCGCAGGGCGCGAGCCCTCACCCTCCGAGGCCCAGTGGCACCCGTCACCGAGCAGCGACACTGCCCGGGGCCTGCATGGAATGGCCTGGTTCCGGGTACAAGCAGACCATTTCCGGCGGGGACTACAGGGCCTTGTAGGTAAAGTACAGGCTGTTGCAGAAGGAAACGGGAGAGCCACACACACATCTGCACGTGTGGGGAGACCACTCGTCAGGAGTCTAATGACGCAGACGCTGCCACCGCCACGCTCTCTTCCGAAGGGGACGAGAGCTGCTCCTCTCAGGGAGGGGCCCACGCACCTCCTCATCCGGACCGAGGGCCACGGTCTAAGGCAGGGGTCCTCAAACTGCGGCCCGCGGGCCACATGCAAATACAAATACTGTATTTGTTCCCGTTTTGTTTTTTTACTTCAAAATAAGGTATGTGACATGTGCATAGGAATTTGTCCATAGTTTTTTTTAAACTATAGCCGGCCCTCCAGCGTCTGAGGGACAGTGAACTGGCCCCGTTTAAAAAGTTTGAGGATCCCTGGTCTAACGAGCAGTGGGCGACGTGGCTTCTCCACCGTGAGGATGACGGACAGACGCCCCCGCCCAGCGCCTGAGGGGCTGTGCCAACCTGGACAAGCGCGGGGCGGCCACACGGCTCCTCGTCTGCATTTCCACCTGCGAATCCAGAGCTGGGGCGGGGGTTGGGGTGCGGGGGGCTCGTCCTGTGAGCCTTTGCAGGGAGAGCACTCAGGGCACGGGTTTCAGACACTAAATACGTGGCCTCTGCGGGACCAGAAGGGAAGTTAAGTAGATTCTTGCTCCTCCGCTACGTCCTCTACTGTGGCCTGTGCTGCCGAGGGCGACACGTCAGCAGGGAGAAAGCGTGTCTGCCTCTGAGCGTCAGCGTGGGCTCCTGGAACCAGGGTCCTCGGGAGGGTCTTGTGTGCGGCTCTGGGAGCCCACACTCCCTGAGCTGCAGGTGCAGCTCTGTGAGAGGCCCCCATCATCTCAGGGGCCCGCACCCCCAAATGTTAAGAGCTAATCAGATCTCATCATCCACAACTTGGGTCTTGAGCAGATGCTCGTTTAAAGCTGACGGAAGACATCATTCCCCCACTTTATGGGCTGGTTATCTGTTCCAATTTTAAAATAGTCCCACGGCCGATGAATCCCAAGTCTCGCACAGCTTCTTGTTAGGCCGGGCTCTGCTGGCAGCTGCGCTTGGGGCGAGCCAGCCTTTCCCCACCTTCAGAGGATGCAACCCCGAACGCCTGTAAGTGAGCTAGGTTTCCTAGCAAAGTGTTTCTTCCCCAAAAAGGAGGAGATGAAAGAAAGACAAGCTGCTGATGTGCTTGTAGTCACTTAATTCAGGACGTGTGACAGTTCAATTTCCAGGCGCCACACGGTCATCTCCCTTTAGAATCACGGCCCCTCCCATTTTATTCTATTTCATTATTACCTTTTTATAATCCTCACCCAAGGATATTTTCCCATTGGTTTTTAGAGAGAATGGAAGGGAGGGAGAAAGACACACAGAGAGACATTGATGTGAAAGAGACACATCAATTGGTTGCCTCCCTCATGCGCCCTGACCAGGGCTGGGGATGGAGCCTGTAATGGAGGTCCGTGCCCTTGACTGAAATTGAACCCAGGAACCTTCAGTCCTTGGATCGACGCTGAGTCAAACCCACTAGGGTGCCCCTCCCATTTTAGAAAAACTGAAGTTGTGTATGTGTGTGTACGTGCATGTGTGTGCGCGTGCGCATGTGTGTGCATGCATGTGTGTGTGTGCATGCGCACGCACTGGGACACAGGTGACCTGATGATGGAAACACATGGATGAGAGGTGTGTCTCACACTAATTTTACTGCTTCCCTGCATGGCCTCGAACCCAGACAACTGCTTCAGAGCCAGGTGGCACCCATCCAGGCCGTGCCTGCGGAAGTCACTGGAGCCGTGTGCCCACCACGGTGTGAATGGGCGACCAGAGCTCTTTAGCACCTTAAATATCAAGAGAGATGGCGAACCGGAACAACAGCTCAGATGCTTTGAGGAAAATGAAAGCTGCAACGATTCCAAACCCAGGAGTCCCAGCTGTGGGCGGTGGCCAGGAGGAGGCTGGGCTGGGACAGTGGCTGCTTGGAGACGGGCTCCATGCTTAGCTCCTTTCTGAAGGCAGCGCTTCAGGGCCAAGGCAGCCATCGGGGTTACGCGGAGGAGAGGGAGGACGTGTCCGCCTTGAGCTGAGTCCAGGAGCCCCTTCTGGACAAGCTGGACCCTCGGCCAGGAGAAGCCCCATTAGCCAGCGCCTCCAGGACCGCAGCGGCAGGGCTTAGCCTCCTGCGGGACTCTGACCGACGGGTGTGCCAGCTGCACCCCTGGACAGGCGGGCGGACCAGCTTCTTGCAGCTCTTCCTTCCTCAAGGGCTCTGGCACGGCTAACACCACCCAGGCTGGCGGGACGGCATTTCCGAGTGTCGCCTCTGGCCTGGGTCTCAGTGGGAGCAGAGGCGTCCAAGCAGCACTGATAGGGACAAGGACCTGCGGCTCTGGTGGCTCAGGCAAGACAGGGCGGGGGCAGGCGTCGGTGCCCCACCAACCAGAGAAAACGCCAACGCTGGAGGTTCCTGGGGGAGTGTGGGGGTCGACGGGAGACTGGCCGTTCTGTGGACGGGACAAAAGGACAGTGGCCGTTGGAACAGCGGAAGCAGAAGGAAGAGAACGGAGTAAAGGGAGAGGCTGACGCGGCCCCTCTCCTGAACGGCAGGCCTCCGAGTGAGCAGGGTGACCCCGAGTTGGGAGAGGAGGAGACAGGAGCACCGCTTAGGAGCCTCCGGCAACTGGAAGGAAGGGCGTGTGACCCGAGGGCACAAGGGCGCCCCCGCCGTACACCGACGCTGAGATGACCACACTCGCCCCAGGGCCCTGACCACAGCAGAGCTAACGTGCAGGTCAACGGGGAGTTCCGGGAAGCAACAAGGCTCCCTGTGCTTTGCAGAGAGCACACGGGACCAACAGGGCCCCGAGCTGAGCCCCGCGAGAGGATGTCGCTCTGTGTGAGGCCGGCGTGGGCAGTGACCGGCGGAGGGGTCTGTGCCCATGCCCAGCAGGGTGTGTGGGGGAAATGGAAAAACCAGGCCCCAAAAGGGTAGGGAAGGGGGACAAAGCCACAGGAGGGCCAGGAGGAGGGTCCGTCCTGCTGTTCTCCCTCCTGCTCTGCGGGGCCCAGGGAGTTCTCTCCAATGAAGAACCCATGAACCACTCCCGGCCCATTTCAAGGCCCACCTCCGAGACCCTCCCCGAGGAGCCAGGCGGGCTCTTCCGCAGTGCGCTCCCCCAAGGGCCGCTCCCCCGAGGGCCGCTAAGAGTTGGCTCCTTGAGGAAACAGCTGGCATGTCTCGGGTGTAGAACGGGAACCTCCCCATCAGCCGAGTAGAATGTTAGCGAGTCATGCTGCTCGTGGCAACGGAACCTTCTGGAGACACAGGGAGCTCCTAGCAACCAGCACATCTGCCTCTGCCAGAAGGAGTTACAGCTGGAGCCTCTGACGGGGAGGCGGGCGGAGGTGTCACCCGTGTCCCTGTAAGACCGACCAGGCTCGCTCCATGCTCATGGCAGCGGGGGTCAGGTCCGAGAGCTTCCGCCATTAGAAGATGGTAAAGCCCTCACACACAGGAGTGCGCCCGCACACAGGGTAAAACCACCGAGCCTGGAGCTTTGGCTGGGGCTCAAGCCTAGAGATGGCCCTTTCCTGCTTCTCATAACTAAGCCACTGGCACCAGGACCCATGGAAACCGGACCAACGTTCAGAAGCGCTTCCCCACCAAACCCCAACCACCCCCTGCCGGCAGAGGACAGCCCGAACCTCAGAAAGAGGCTGGGCAGGAAGGTGGTCTCTGGGGAGAAGGCGGGACGGAGGGAGCCAGTGTGCAGGCGGGGCACCCCGGGCCGAGCGTCAGAAGAGCACGGACCCGCCATGACCTCGGGTCTTGGGGGCGTGCGGGGCCAGGCCCTGTGTGTGGGAGACGCTGCCGCTGCACTGCTCACCGGGTGGCCAGACCAGTAGGGGGCAGCGACGGTGCCAGGGGGCTGCTGGAGCCAGCGTGGAGGGATGTGTTTCTCTTGACGACACTGCCCAGAGCCTCTCGAGTTCCATGGTTCAAGGTGAAAAGAAAGCAGAGAGCAGAAGAGAAGGCGGGTGGGACTGTCAGGGAACCTGGGGCAGCGCGGACGGAGGCCCCGGGGAGCCCGAGCGGCCCGCACGGCCTTTCCTCTCCGGACGGGCTCTCCCCGCCCGCGTCGGTACAGCGTGTCCTCAGTGAGAGCCCTGCCCGTGGAGCCACCACACGGGGCCGGGTGAGGGCGGGCGAGGCTGGCTTAGGCCTTCAACATTCCTAAAAGACGCCACCTTTCCCAGGGTTTTCTAGAAAGCAAGACTTTAGAACAAGGAGGCTTGGCCCCTCCCCGCCCCTCCTCGGCAGCTGCGCCTGTTACTTACGCCATGAGCTCCCCCACAGGACGCCCCTGCCCGCACTGCCGGGCACGGTGTCGCCATGACAGGGCCGCCAGGC